CCTGTAAGGCCGGGATGTCCAGACTATAGAATCTGGCAAATGTGGACGGCGAGGCTCAGCTAGCCGCCACACAAATTTTTGCAATGGACACACTGCTAGACCAGGCCCAGGAAGAAGCAACGCCTCTAGTTGAGTGGGTTCTTACTCCCATGGGGCATAGAAGGCCCAAAGAAGAGTATGATAGCATAATAGCGTCAGTTATCCATTTGGAAGTCTCTGCTTCGTAACCGGACAACCCTTGGTGCGGCCACCGAAGCATACAAATAGCTGATCTGACGGCCTGAACGGGGCGGAACGCTCAATATGGACTTTCAGCGCCCTGACGGGACAGAGTAAGTTAAACTCTGGGTCTTGCTCCAAAGGAGGAAGCGCCGACAGAGTTATCACCTGTGCTCTAATGGAGTAGAGGGCACTTTAGGTACATAACCGTGCCTTGGTTTCAGGACGACCTTAGAGTCGTCGGGCCCGAATTCGAGGCAGGTGGGGCTCACTGATAGCACCTGCAGATCTCCCATACGCTTACCGATGCTAATGCTAGTAGCAGAGCAGTCTTAAGCGTCAGGGGACGAAGGTCAACGGACTGTAGCGGCTCGAAAGGAGGGCTCTTAAGAGCCCTCAACACCGTGGGCAGGTCCCATGTAAGGACGGTGATAGGGTGAGGTGGGTTGAGCCTCCTAGACCCTTTCAAAAAGCGAACAACTAGGTTGTTCCTGCCCACTGACTGGCCAGCTATAGGAGCGTGTGAGGCTTCTATGGCTGCTACATAGACCTTGAACGTTTTATTATCCCCAAAACCCAGTCTGGCACTCCGGGGATGGCCTGCCAGGCCTCAGCCTGCATGACAAGGGGTTGGATTAATTCAAGCGGCTGGTCGCCATTTGGGGACCCCACACTCAGAAGAGGAATTTTGCTCTCTTTTGAAAATGTTTTCAAATAATGCTTAGCTAGACTTAATGCTCTCATAGCGAGAGCAGTCAGCCCCCGTGTGTGCTGCCTCAGCGTGGGCGTGGCCCAGACTCGTCCAATTTGAAGCTGTCAGTGATAATAATCATTAGTGACAGCGTTCCCTTTTAATCCGCCTAAAAAGATCAAACCACTCATAGAAGAGGAGTACAGATGATCTTTATGTGTAAACACTCAGGCAGATCAAAAGTGCTGCGCGCATTCTCTCAGATCCGCTTGTGGCGGACGAGGGGAGGGGCGGGGCCGCCTTCATTGAAGAAGACGAGCCGCGAGCAAAGCAGAGCGAGACATGAACTCTCGTAGTGAGAGCGATCTGTCCCAGCGAGCGCAGCCTCAGCGTGGGCGTGGCCCAGGCGAGAGGCGCATTCAAATACGAAGCTGTCAGCAATATTGAATCATTGGTGACATCGTTCTGCTCCGATCCTCACGTGTAAACACACTGGCCAATCAAAGAGCTGCGTGGAGAGTGATGCATGCGGGGGCTTGCCGGCATTAAATCGCTCATGCCTGATCGCTCATCCCCGCGAGTTCGCCATTTCTTCCTCCGAGTAACTGGGAGGAGAGAAAAACAAGAGCGGGGGAGGCGGGGCTCAGCAACGCACACACAAATGCAAAGCTGCGAACGTCCTGCTTTGATCTGCCTAGGAGGATTAAGCCGCTCGGTGTAATGAGGGGCACTGATTCTCACATGTAACACACACTGGCAGATCAAGCACGCATGTTGTGTGCCAGCATGAATTGCTCAGCCTGATCGCTCAACCCGCAAGCTCGCCATTGCTTCCTCCGAGGTAACTGGGAGGAGGGGCTTTGTAGAAAACGAAGCGTTTGAGAGAGGCGGGGCATAGAGGACCCACAATAACGTACAGTATTTGAAAAATAATGTGTTTTTTGAACATTAAAGCATGTCAACATATTCTGTTACACCAAATACACAAAATAATGATCTTTAAAAAAGCATCATATGACCCCTTTAATTCCCTGACTCCGCTGTTTCTCTCTCCGAGGCTCGAGAGAGGAGAAACGGGAGAACGGGGCTGCCTTCAATGAAGGCGGTCCGTGAGTGGAGAAGAGCGAGACTCATGCTCTCGGCGAAAGCATTCCGTCTTAGTGAAGTGCAGTCTCTGCGTGGGGGCTGCCCAGACAGGCGACGCACTCACTGCCATTCTGCATCGTGCAAGATTCCATGCACGAGTCACACTCGCAGCGCAACATTTGCAACAACGTCGCTAAATTTCTAAAAACTAAATGTAAGTGTTACATAAGTGTTACACACACGACAAATTAAAGAGCCACAAAATGGTATTTATTGTTTGAATTTCTTTAAAGAAATGACAAAACTTGAAAGCTGAGACTTTGTTTCATACCAGAAGTAACCTGCTCTGTCTTGTCTGTCGGCGCGTTGTCAGTTTCCTCTTTGCTACGCAATGTATTTTTCACTGCGTGAGAACATGATGTGTGGCATAGCAACAGTAACTAAGGGAGGCGGGTCTTTGAGAAGGGTCAATTAAGTCAACGATTTGCTTCCTATCTTGGGTGTATCTTACCCAAATAACAAGTATTGTTATACTAAAAAAAAAAAAAACTGAGTAAATAATATATTTTTATTTTATAATGCCTTGGTGATCAGTTATTGTGTCCTGTATTTGATGTTATAAACAGGGGGTGAGAATTCATGAAAATAAACAGGCTCAAACCATCAACCCCACTGTACTGTACTTAAACATTGATCAAATCCTCGAGTACCAAAAAGAAAGTACTGGTACCCATAACAAGTCTGTTCAAAAATGTACTGGTGTCCGATGTTTTCTTTTATGGAGTTTTTTTTTTTTTTTTAACTTGGTCTTTCGTTTCTCACATATCTTTTAATTTCAGGACATAAGGAATAAAACCTTTGTGTCTAATGCCTGTTTCACACATACTCCGTTTGCAGTGCGTATAGAGTCCATGTGCGGTTCGTATGTGGTGCAGAAGCAGCATGTACTCCTTTTGCTTTCACACAAGATGCGTTTGCAGTCTGCTCCTGATCCACGACTGTTTACCACAAACACAACCTTTATCCATTATTTAGATTTCAAATCCAAAAGTTGTTACTGAAAATGCTTTTTCAGCATTGTGATCCTCTTTTATCACAGTACAGTAATACAATCTTTCATAGACATATTCACGTTTAAACTAAAATATAACCAACATATTATTCAATGCATTTGACTTATAGATTTGTATATTAAATTGCTCAAGCAAGTGGCAACACATTTAAACAGCATACAGACACAAACATTTTAAATTAAAACTTACCACTGACAGAAACAGTCAGCATGTCAACAGTCTCATGCCTTTTCTTTTGCATTTAAATCTTTATTACAAGCAAACGGAGTATGTGTGAAAGAGGCATAAAGGTCAGATTTTGTCAATGATACCAGCAAAGATATAACTATCACAACAGACTAGAGTAAAATGTGCTGTGAAGGACTTTTGAATGGATACAGATGTGAAAAAATAATGAAGCTGTCACATACACATGAGTGATGTCCATGGTTAATGTATCGGACCATGGCTGCAGTAGCAGAAAGGCCTTCAGTGTGAGAGCAGCACGTGGCAGTAGAAGATAGGGACACCATACTGGATCTGAAACAGAGAACAGAGACAGGAACATACAGTTGTGCTCAAAATTATTCATACCCTTGGTAAATATGATCAAAGAAGGCTGTGAAAATTAATCTGTATCATCAATCCTTTAGATATTTTATTTCAAAAATTTACTAAAATCTAACCTTTCATTGGAGAATAAGAATTTAATATGGGAGAGAAATCTCATTATGAAATAAATGTTTTTCTCTAATACACATTGGTTGGAAGATCCAACCATGGCCCATTATAAGATTTCTAGCATGGACAGTCAGTTTTAAATTTTTTATCCATTGGTATTTTATATGTAGAATCCATTATGCCATCTATCTGAACAAAATATCCATGATCTCCGGCAGAAAAATAGGCCCACAGCATTAAAGATCCAGCAGTATATTTCATTGTACACATGGGGTACTTTTTTATCCCTGTGTGCACCAAACCCATCTTGAGTGTTTCCTGCTAAAAAGCAAATTTTTTTAGTTTCATCTGACCATTGAACCCAGTCCCGTTTAAAGTTCCAGTTGTGTCTAGCAAATAAACATACTGGAGTTTGTTTTTGGATGAGAGCGTTTTCTTTTCTATTTTTTGTTCTTGAAACCCTCCCAAACAACATTGTTTTTTTTCTAAACAATGCGGATTTATTTTCACAGCCTTCTTTGATCATATTTACCAAGGGTATGAATAATTTTGAGCACAACTGCACATACATACACCATAAAAGTCTATTGTACACCACCAAGTCTGACATGATGGAAGGACCTACTAAAGTTATATCACTGGAAAGAAAAAATAAATCACATGTGAAGTCAAAGCATACTGTATGCACATACAAATACGAGATCCCGTGTGCAGAATGATGCACTTATAGCATCATGGATTCAGAGCACACAGCTCTTTGCATTGAAACTTTTATGATAAAACCATAGACCTTTATTTACAAATCAAATATAATAATGGGAACTTTACCGTGACTACTGTCATAACCGAACATGACATGGAGTTCGATTGCTGAATATAGAATGACAGACAGCCACAGCGGAGAGAATAGTTTACGTGATCTTTAATTTAACAACTTAATTATTCATTTGTATTCGTATTGTATTTGTATTGAATGGTTTCAGAAGACTTTGGAAACACCCCCAAATCCTATCCAAATCACATTTCTGGAAATCAATTTCTGTCTGACCGATTATCGGATATCACATTTTTTGTGTGTCACTTTTTCACTCTACATAAAACGTAAATATGTCAGGCGCTGCTGTAGGAAACATGCTGAAAGTCTGTGGTGGAGGCGGTGTGGTTAAGTGAAGCCAGTATCCAGAGAGCGAGACTGTTGGATAAGCTTTAATGAGAGCGTCAACTGATAAATACTAACAGCTGTTTTCACTCTGTTTGCGATATAAAAACATTTGTGAATAGAGTACGCAGAATAAATGAGTACACCCCCTTGGAATAAATACAAAAGATGCATTTTCTTAATGAGCACTAATATGTCATTAATACCTGGGGAAGTCGTGGCCTAATGGTTAGAGAGTCCACTTTCAAGTGATGACAGAATTTCCTTTTTAGAATTTCCTTCCTTTAAAATAAGTAAATTAGCCAATTTTGTTTAAATAAAGCATTGAAGAAATGAGTACACCCTAGATTTAATTCAACAAATGTATAATATTCTAGTACTTAGTATGTCCTCCATAAATTTAAGTACACTGCTCTGACCCTTCTTGGCACTGAGTGTACAAGTTCACATCATCTTGTCACATCTGTCGTTTATATCCTGGAAGATGACCACCTTAAATGCCCTGGTCTTTAATGGAGAGTTTTTATCAACTCAGAATCCCCCACAGGTGCTCAAGAGTGTTAAGTTTGGGTGAAATATATGTCCACTGAAGGATTTTCACCTTGGGAGAATGCATATCATCGTCATGTTGAAAAAATGCCCAACCACTCAGGGAATGAGAAGAGGGTTTTCTGTTTCAAGTTTTTGTATTAAATCACACAGTGGTGTGTATATCAATGACAGCATTGATTAAGCACAACTCTCTCACACCTTCAGCACTCATACATCCCTATAGAAGAGCTTTACTACCACTGAACTTCACTGTGGAAACCAGTTTGGTTTTTAAAAAAGTGGACAACTGGAACTCTTTTACTTACAAGATTAAATTCAGTCTAAGTCATTTTGTATAAAAGCGTTTGTTAAATGAATAACAGTATATGCATCTTGTACCTCTCTACACAATTTTACACACTACTCTAAACATACTACATACTGGCCTGTGTTATTTGAGTCAAATGCTCTTTATGAAACCATGGCTGTATACCAGTAAAAGAAACATCATAAAAATTATTCCACACAGCTCCGGGGGGTTAATGAAGGCCTTCTGAAGTGAAGCATTGGTATAAGAAAAATATCCATATATAAAACTTTATAAATTGCAATCTCTAGCTTCCGTTAACTGACATATATGTGCGTCCACTAGATTGTGGCGTTCCAGCGGATGATGTAGGACTTTAGGCCATTATAAAGATTGGAAGAGAAAGGACATTTTTTTAACACAACTTCGATTGTATTAGTCTGAAAGAAGAAAGTCATATACACCTAGGATGGCTTGAGGGTGAGTAAATCATGGGGTAATTTTCATTTTTGAACTATCCCTTTAAGGCACTGCCTTGTCTTAATGCTCTGAAAAGTATGCATGTGCATTAGCTGAACCATTTCTGCTAAAGAATCAATTAATGGATTAATCAATCAAACAATCAATCCATCAATAAAAAAGTAAACACACACCTCCTTGGTATCCCAGACCTCAGCTCCATCTGTGTACATCACCAAGAGTTTTTGGTTGCCTTTCCCAGGAGCAAAACGAATCTTCTTCACCCACCCACGGTGGGTAGGTACAGCCCTGAAAAATGTAAACAAATCACAAAATCAAGACTTTGTAAAAGAACATAATAGGACCCCTTTAAAAACAAACTAAAAGCAACTCAAATATGGGATGCACAGAGTCATATATTTCCAGCTCAGTCCTTTATTAGGTTTCATTTCAGTTAGGATGCTGTCATATAAAGTAGTTCACAGAGTTTTGGAATTAAATCAGTTTGCACACATGCATGCATGGAGACACATTTTACTTGCTTAGTCTTTAGTAATATATATTTTTACCTTGAAAGACGAGCCTTTAGGTCCCAAAAATTGAGGTTTCCATCTACATCTCCCAGAACTAGGGTGTCTCCTTTCCATGTAATACAGGCAATGCTTCCCATACTGCCCTGGAAGAGAGTAGACAAACTTCAGTTTCTTGCACACAAGACATAGGACACTGCTAATATGTCATAATCAGATAATCAGAATATATGTGATATTACCAGTTGTCATAGACATTTGCTATTTGACATGGTGCAAGGACCCGCTTGGAAATACTCTGTTTATTATTACTGAAAGTGAGCAGGATACCATTGTTTTCCTGAATATTATTTCTTTTTCATTTAATTTTTCCAGTTTTACTGACATTTTTCCTGATATGTAAGCATTTTCCATAATTGGATATCGGTTTAGTAATATTGGATACACACAAATTTTGTGAAAATTTGACCAAGAGCCTAGGAGTAGCTTGAAAAACTATGTTTTCAACAAAATCTCTCAGCATGACCCAAGGAATCTTATAAGATCAGTCTCATGCCAATAGGCAAAACCATTATAATTTGGCTATTATTATCAAATTGCCTCGTTTTTTCATTCAGCACTGTATTTCACACACACACACACACACACACACACGCGCAAATGAGGAGCCTGTAGCCGGTGAAGGAGTCTCCAACCACAAACACAGATACATATCGTCTGCTGATATAACGTATTTCGTTGCACTTTAACAAGTAATCTGAACGGCCTATATA